TTTGGACTCCTGTCCACACTTCTTACTGGTGACGGTGAAGGCCCTTCAGTAGACCCCACGAGTGCATGGGAGGAACCCCTGCCCACACTCCCTCCTGGTGGCGGTGATGGCTCCCCTCTATAAGCCAGCATTATAGCCAAAGAGGAAGAGGCTCAGCACCGCTACAGTCTAAGAAGTTTTTCCTCTGGAAACTGGATTGATATGCAAACTGGCCAACCGAGATATGGAGGCGGTGAAGTGGTTCCCCCATTTTTATTAGGATAGTTCTTGGTAGCTTTGGAAAAGTTTAGGCTGACCTGTTACCGTCGTTAAGGCTAACTACCCGACCCTCTCACTATAGAAATATCAACCTTCGTGACACGGGCAGGGTTATTCCTTCTTACCTGGAAGTGTTTGGGTGGCCTCAAGGGGCCGGCAATCTTTCCCGGGGCGTCACTTTATGTCCACTTAGAAAACTAACTCTAGGATTTGGAAATAGTTATAAAAAATAGAGTTGTTCATGATTACTTCGCGATTAAATGAAACAGTCGGCACTTTTACAGGGAGAGAACATTCCGAGTCGTTAGTGTTAACGATATTAAGGGACACAGAGAAGGGATTAAGCTGTTAGTGGTAATGGAGCGGAGAGGGAAAGGGAGGGAGGCGCCAGAGGACACTGGCTGCCATGCTGACAGTCTAATTTTAACACGTGTTCTTGTTTTTGTTGCTGATAGTACTTAGGCATTATTGTTATTATTATTATTATTATTATTATTATTATTATTATTATTATTATTATTATTATTATTATTATTATTATTATTATTATTATTATTACTGTCCCTCATTATTGCTCTTTTGCTAATGTTGAGATCCACCTTGGCATTAAATTGTAGTAGGTTGACACAGAAAATTACCCACCGTAAAGTTTTACTCACATGAATAGCACCTGAGGGATCCACGAGACGCGGAGTCATGACGTGTGTGGGAGGCGCGACACACCAGCCCCTCCGTCAGGGTGTTCCTGGGGCTGAAATAGCTCACCGGGCGGAGGTGGTCGGCCCCAGCCATTCATTGGGCCGAGGGCAATTTATTAAACTTGCCCCCCGGGCATTCTTAACCCGTGCTAACTTGTCGTTCTGGAGGAGGGATCGCGGGGCAGCAGACGACGAATGGCAGACACCAGGCTGGAATAGTAAAACCCGCCAGCACTCGCTTTTAAATGTCTCGTGACTGCTCCGAGGTGGGGTGAACACAGCCACCGCTAGGTTGGAACACAGTTGGTCAGACTAAAATCTGGATTCAAGTCCCGGGGAGGGGAAAATAGAAATGAAAGGGAATTCTGTTTAGGTGGGGAAAAAATAATGAAATTGTCTGAATTGAGAAGCGGTGTTGCTTGTTTACAGTGGGGTGGTCCCCAAGTCTTGCTCAGGACTTGAGCAAGGCGTTTAAAGTACACTAGGCTTTACACACTCTTGGGGATCACATCCATATTTATCTTGGAATCCTGCGTCGGAAAGGAGCTTAAGCAGCGTCCAGGAATGGAAGGAAAGCGTGAGAGGAGGCAAGGAATTGAAAAACGAACACTTGGCTCACATAAACTGATAGAACTGGGGAAATATGAGATCCAGAAATATAGGAAGTGCAGTGCCGGAGCGAAAAGTGGGACAGGCGGTGTCGTGCCAAGTGACTGTATACTCCACCTCTTACTTACTCGAGACAGCAAACTGACACTGACACTGAGATACAACAAATGTTGTGCTACACGTCCGAAAGTATAGGGAACTGTCATGTGTGTTAAAGAAACATTGTACTGTACTGCATTTCTTTACTACGCGCGGGAAAATATCTTTAATTGTGTACAATGTTACAGAAATGTAACAAGTGCTGTAATATTAGCAGGACACAGTGAAATAATGCTTTACATGTGTGTAATTCAACTTGTAAAGAGGAAGATATAAATATCTGTATAGCATGAAAATACGAGAAGCTAAATAAAAAAAGAAAATTGGAAAACGAAATCTAGCGTAAAAAAGTATTAAAAGGCAGAACAAAACAATCTGAGAATTTAGCAGGAATATGAGACTTAAAAAACTAGGGAAGTATTTCAGAATATAAATTTAGCACAAAAATGTAGGAAACTAAAAAAGAAGGAAATACAGCAAACTAAATCTAGGTCGAAGTGTAAAGGAGATTTAAAAGAAAACAAGAAAAGATTACAAACTTACTTTAGCACAAAAATATATCTAACCTTAAACCTGACACTAAAATGTGGGAAATTAGACATAGCACCAAAACGTACGTGTGTGTGTGTGTGTTCGTGTGTGTGTGTGTGTGTGTGTGTGTGTGTTCGTGTGCTTTGTATGTATATGTATGTGTGTGCTTGTGTATGTTTGTTAGCTTGGGTGTTTTTCTCACACAAAAATCGACGGGAACCAAGGGAGGACTCAGAGTACCGCAGGCTCAAGCAAGTCGCATTCATTTCACTTCGAAGTTAAAAGAGCATGGTTAACTGAAGTTCTTTTTTCCCCTCGCCATTGGGGTTTGTTTGAGCATAAATAATTCTGATTGTTCTCGGCGGAAGGTTAGTGTGCGACTGTTTATTCATGGCGGGTTCTGGTTGGTTCCCAGAGACGCCACAATGTCTGCCTCTCCGTCAGCCTCTGTTGCTGGAAATTTCCGGTTGATTTTGAGAGGTGAAGTGTTGTTGTTGGTGTAGGTCAAGTTTAATATGTGATGAGGAAAGATCTTCTTTTTATTCTAGAATATAATTTTAATTTCCGTGAATTAATTTTATGAGCGGTTGTTTATAATTCATTATGTCATGATGCAGTGGGGAAAAAGTTAGCTCAGTGATGAACCAAGTCGAATCGTCTCCATTCTAAAGAAAGGGATAAAGATTTTGTCATTAAGAAAGAAGTCGGTGAAGTTGAAGAGAAAGAAGGAAAGGGAGGAGGGAGGACTGGAGAAGAGAGAGGAGGTGGAGGAGGAGGCTGAGTGTTATTTACGCAGTGTTGGGGCTGGGGATCCAATTCTTATAATGGATATTGAATTCCTTCGTGTGTGGCTCGGCCCTCGGTAAACTAGGATTGTGGGACCCTGGCCGGGCACGCTCGCTATGATGGCGTCTTCCTCAGTCTAGTCAACACACATCTTTAAATATTTTTTTCCTACTTCAGTCTGTAGAATTATTTATTCACATACGTCATTTAAAGAAGCACTTTAACTGAGCGATGTTTCAGAGGCAGTTTATATTTATCTTGGTGGGCTTCAATTATTTTTAAGCCCGTATTCTAGATTAGTAAATAAACTAGCCATCGCTATTTAAAACTTAAAGAGAGGTACTTATACTTCTGAGTTCAATTGCCATTAAAACTCAATTGTAATACCGCCTCCAGTCTCTACAAGTGACAGACTGATAAAAACGCTGCCCAGACTACGTTTTACTAGACACTTGGTAATTACAGTGGCACCGCCGGCAACACATCCCAGCTGGACTGTGAAAATATCCTTGTTAAAGAGTTTCAAATTGTACCCAGATGCGCAACACAGGTATAATAGAAAAGTCCAATTTTCTACAAATGTTTCTTAAGTGTTCGGCCACCCAAAGATTATTATTGATTTCTTTCCTGTTGGGTATATAGTATCAGTATCAGCCACTTTGAACGCGTGGATTTTAAATATGATTATCTTATTATGGCCGTCGAGAAGTGAGAATGGGACGAGGCAGAGAGGCCACTGTTGTTTTTTTTTGTGGAGGACTGATGACATTGTGCTGTGTTAACGATCCTAGAGAGTAATTAAAGGGAATGGCATTAAAGTGCTTACCGAATATAAGAAGAATGCGTAAGGCAGGTCTAACCCCATCCTGTTCATACTCCTGCTGCCCGTGCTGTGTTCCTAGTCCCCGCTGTTCCTCCCATTGCTGCTATTATCTCCTGTTGTTCCAGTTTTCTCGTCGCTGTTACCGCTCTTGTTTCTCCTGCTGCTCTTGCATTTTATTATTAGTCATAGTTCGTCCCGTTGATGTTGGTATTGCTGCCTGTTATCCCTCCTGTTATTATATCCGGCAGTTATTGATTTTGTTGCTGATATCCTTCCCGTTGTTGGCAGTGCTACTGTTATCCTTCCTGTTGCTGTTACAGTTTTGTTGTTACTGGTCGCTCGCTCTGTGCTCTTTGATGTCGGTATTTTAAAGGAGGAGGAAAATAAAAGTATCCAAGGAGTTTACTTTTGAGCATCCAGAAAAGTAAAAGTTTTAAAAAGGATGGTGGTGGGGGCCAAGCCAAGCCGGCCAGCCAGTGCGCCCTCTGCCCTCCCTGTGATCGTTTGACACAATGTACCCAAGTTAAAGCCCAACTTTTGCCTTTGTTTGGCCCGTGACCATTTTGGCCATAGCTAGAAAATGTCTCCATTACCACAAAGACTCTGGACTTTTCCTCCATTGTGTAAAATATAACTTTTAGAGATAAGAAAAAAATAGCAGGCTTTCGTTGTTGATGCTCATATATATAGTTATAAATGGATGGCATGAAATTGCATTTGTTTACGATAGAAAATGCTAGAATTGCATCGGAGAATTGGACTTATTTTTTGTATGTGTATTCTTTGAGATAAAAGTATTTATTTTCAAACTGGGGGTAATATTTCCATTGACATTGAGAACTACCTGGTTTAGTTATTATTGTAGCCCGGTGAGCGTTTAAAGGGAAACTTACCAAAGGCCTTCTTTACGAGACTGAATTAAAGTTTGAAATTCATTTTCAAGTTAAACTTCAAAACAGGGACGAGAGAAAATGCGAGATAGTGTTGGAAAGGGAGAGGATGGCACTAAACAAAAATGTGCGCTGCTCGGAAAATGTGGCGAGAGATGTATCAACATTATCGAACAGCGGGAACCAGGTGTGTCGTCTGCCCGTGTTGCTCTTGGCTCACTTACTCTCCTGTGTCTGTATATTTGTTATTATATTTGTGTGGATTTTGTTTTGGACGTTATACTGACTTTGTTTTTTTCTTTACAGAAATATCGTCTACAACATCAGTGTATACAACCTGGAGGAGAACTTTAGCCAGGTAAGTGTTCATTAATATATTACGAAAAGTCGATGGAAATTTAAATAGTAAGCATGTTACACGCATGAATAATTTATAGCACACATGTGTACATAATATGTAAGATACATCGTACTGACCTGGTTAACTAGACACCATCGCGAGACTTAATGCATAAAAAATTTATAAAGAGTTCCAGTAATGCAGATGCTAAGTTGTGTTTGCATTGGCAAGTTATTCGAATTAAATTCAAAGCGGCACTCAGTCCGCAGTTTTCCATAAGGTTGGACTTTAACAGCCTACAAAACTATCCCCGGATTGTTACCCAAATCCCCAATAGCATTATTCCCGTGGTGTTGGCATACCATTACCGAGGTCTCCTAAATCCCATCGATATAGCAAATCCGGGGCTGAGCGTGCGGGTATCGGCAGGCGGGTCCATTTCATTATTCGGGAGGTGTGATAGAACCTTGTTGATGGGACGTCACGCCTGTGGCAGCCAATCACAGCCTCTCCTGCCTGCCTTCTACTGCTGTGTCCTGCCGACTGATAAGCGCCCGGGTAGAGGAAGATCTTTAGGGGGATTATAACGCGGAAAATTCTATGTAATTATGTGAGTTACGGAGCGTAGCTTGTGAAAACGCTTAATGGAGTATGAATTCTATAGATTAAGGTGGAATCTGAGGTGATGAGTTTGATGATCTGTGCGTCATAAGGGTGCAGAAGGTAGGGTACTTCCCACTGAACTCTCTGAACAAACAACCTTCAAAACTTGGTGCCGCTACATAATAGTGGAAGAAACTTGTTAAAAATTCCAGTGAAGATCAATCTGTTCAGAATGAATAATACCGAAACACGGAAACCTTTAAAATTTAAATTGTAATTTGCACAGTACTTCGGCTTACCACATAACACGGCTTTGAATTTGATAATAATATACATCTCTACTGCGTAAATTTAGCAGTTGATAACCGCTCATTCCTCTTAAGGTTAATGAATAAAGAATCGGGAAAATCGTTAATTTAAGAAAAAACTAATATGAATGGTTTAATAATGCGTTTGATGTTGTTAATGATCGTATACTAATAGTAATAGTGTATATGAGGAATACTGAAGGTGAGTTGATTACCTAGCTCCGGTAACACTGCGGAAATTTTGAGAAAATAGACGAGTAATTTGATAATTTACATTTACAGTACGCCAAACACTTGTAAATACTGTAACATTATAATATAATGTTATATTATAGTATTGTAATGCTGTAAATTAATGTTATACCATGTCAGGAAATGTCGTGTCATGTGAGGTATATAGCCTTTTTGAGTTAGCTGCTGGACGGTGTTGTAGCCTCGGCCGGGTTGGGTTAAATAGTCCTGAAGTTATTCAGCCGGTGGTGTGTGTTGTGCTGTTGTGTGTGCCACGAGACTTGTTTTTGTAATGTTGGTGATTACACCAACCGGTAAATCCATCTAGCGAGCGGGGAGACTGTGTGTCCGTCTTGGTGATGTGTTGGGACGTGCACCACGCGCCGGGGACACACGATACTCTCAAGAAACAGTTACCGATTATGGATTATATTATATTAGGTTAGATTAGGTTAGGTTAGGTTAGGTTAGGTTAGGTTAGGTTAAGTTAGGTTTGCTATTAAAAAAAAGAAAGTAGGTCGAGTCAATATAGTTAGTGGTTCATGACTGAATAGCCTGGCTGTCTATGACTCTACAGTATGTAGCCGTCCCGGCTACGTAAACTATCTGGCTATTCAGCCGGTGACGGCTTAATAGTCACAGTGTTTAATAAAACCGCCCGAGAATTAGAAAAGAAAAGGTTCGAATATTTACAAATTTAGTTTTGGGACCCGAAAAGTTGCCTTGGGATTTTCAAAACTTCCATTGAACCTCGAAATCTGCCATGAGGATTTAGAAGACTGACTTTGTAATCCCTAAAAAACTGTCCTGGGAATCTCTCAAAACAGCCCTGGGAACCCAATTACTGTCCTGGGAACCCCTCAAAACTGCGCTGGGAGTCATTGAGTAGTCCAGCCCAGCGCGGGAGTTGATCAGCGTGGTCACAACATCCTGGGAAGGGGGAGGCCCGGGCTTGCCATGTGTCATGCGCTAACTGGACGCATGACACATGGCTTCCTCTTACCCATGAGGGCTTGTCACATAACTTTGCATGACGAGTTTATTCACATTTAGTAATCGTTTGTCTCCATCCTGCAAGTGGTGTATGGGTGCGTGGAGGGTGTAGGCAGGTGTAGCCAAAACGTCAATCGCACACGAATTTCTAGTAGATCGATGCACAGATTGTAGCCTCTCGTCAAGAGTGGATGCATGATCCTGTGTGGGGTGCTGAGATTACCCCGCGGAATGAAAGATTATGGTCGGTTAAGTTAGGACAGATTAGATTAGGTTGCATTAGGGTAGGTTACGTTAAGGATTATTAGGTTAAGTTAGCTTTTGTTCGAACTGCGCATACCAGAATATTTTCAGCACGGTACAATCTCAGATCGTGACACCTTACCGTCACATCCTCGGCTAGTTATGTTAGTGGTCATTAAAAGTGTCACCTACATTTCTTATAACAACTCATCACTAAGGCAAATATGGTGGTGTACATTAATGAAACTATTATTATTATTGTGCCGGCGGGGGGATGGGGGGGGGGCTCGTCCGGGTGGTTGTGGAAAAAGAAGCTCACACCTCAGTAAAGTCTAGGCCTCCCCTGGTGTAGTCCACGCCTGTTACTGGCTGACTCTCTTGTGAGTTATCAAATATCTCTCTCTCTCTCTCTCTCTCTATATGCAAGTTTTCGAGGTGTGTGTGTGTGTGTGTGTGTGTGTGTGAAAGCGTAATTTGGGGATGCAGAGTTTGGATGCTACTAATATTAGTGCAAATTAGGGGTTGATTCGTAATTTTCCGCCATCAGGAGTCACTTCCGTCGTTAACACAAAACTTTCCCTTTGACGATCGCCACTGATGGTGTTTGCCAGACCTGCAGTGCTCCAGGTATCAGCCACTTTGGCACGCAACCTGGAGCAAGGGCACACGAACATACAAGTACGCTGACGCACGCATACAGGTACACGGACACAAACACGCAAGGCACACGTACCCACATAGGTATCAGGATGCAAGTATACACGTAAGTATACTAAACTCGTTTACCTGCTTGGACACACACACACACATACACACACACGCATGCATGTATGCATGTTTGTTTGGGGATTACTGGCCACTTTACCTACCTGCTATTTCGGCCGAACACACACATACACTACTACTACTACTACTACTACTACTACTACTCGAGAGGCAGAAACGGGACCGGTAGGGCTGTCCACAGATGTTACACGTGTTGAGGGCTACATCTAGTGCGGGATGGGCAACGTCTTTCCGGAGGCTTGTTTGCCTCGGTGTGCAGTCGGGCTAACTCGAAAGTATTGACACCCCGTGTGGTGCTCCTCCAAGCGTAACGGTGTGGGGTGATCGTCTCCCAGGTGAGGGGGTCGATTTGGCACTTTTTTAGGTTTGTCTTAAGACTATCCTTATACTTTTTCCGTTGCCCGCCAGCGTTACGTTTACTATTCGTTGGGTGACTGTAAAGTAGCTGCTTTGGCAGTTTTACTGTCGTCCAGGCGGGTAATATGGCCAGCTCACCGTAGTTACACACACACGCGCGCGCACACACACACACACACACACACACACACACACACACACACACAATTGATTTATCCAGAAATACTGTTTAGGTAGAATGATCTGAATATTGCGTGTGTGGAGGGGGTGGGGGGCAGGAGGGGACTAGATAAAGAGGGGGGTGAGGGATAACGTCAAAATTCAAAGGAAACAAAATGACTGGTGAATTTGTCAGCTTTATAAACTCTTCAGAGTAAATGGCCAAAGTTTTAGGAAGAGTTACTAGGTTTATGCTGCTAATAGTGTGTTGTTTGAGCTGTAAATGTCACGGTGTTAGGGGAGGAAGTTTCATTGATGTGAATGTCGAAACTAACATAATTTAACCTAACCTAACCTTAACCTCAGCTAATCTCAACCTTACCTTAACCTTAGGACGAGTGAACCTTTGCAGATAGATTCCTCCTAGGTTTAGATTAAGTTGTATTGATGTGTGTCAACATAGCTGAACTAGGCTAGGAGTCACGATCATTGTGTTCTTGCCTTACAGTGGAAAGTATGTTTGCTTTAATTAATTTACTAGAGTATGTAAAGCAGTTTAGTAATTGTGATTAATGATTTTTTGTTTTGTTTACAGAGAATAGTGTGGTACTCCAAAGAACACGATAGTTCCGTCTGCTTCGACAAGGGCAAGTCGGTGGTAAGTACATTTCCTCTTGATATAAGTTTAACATACAACTATTAAACACTCGCTTCAAAAAGTACCTTAAAGATTTTGTGAGACAATATGACACAACGGACGAAGGATTCTGACAACCCCCTACTGAGACGATAGGAGTCCCAGTGTTCATTTTGAAATTCATCGGTCCACTCTGTAAAGATACGTTTTTTGAGTGAGTAAATACTGTATCTTTATGATCTAATCCCTCATTATGTGGTATATATGCTGTGTATATTTCCAGTATATGGAAGTTTTCCTCTCTTTTTTTTTTAGTGTCTGCTTAAACTTTTCAAACTTATTTTGGCTTTGTTAATCTCATTTCTTTTTTTCTAGGTTTATTTTGCTTTTGAGTATTTAAGTTATATTTAAAAAGTTGGTAAAAAATTAGTATTCGTATGTATATAAAGTTAAAGGGCACGGTTTTAAATCTTTTATTTTTTAGCACATTACATTGATACCTTTTGAGACCAGTAGTTAAATATTTCCTTAACGGGTGATAACAATGAAAAGTTTGCCTATAGTAACACCTAACCTAAAGTCCATTATGTTATAACTGTTCAATTTTATAGTCTAGTTATATCGAACTGTGTCTTTGTCATTATTTGGTATTATAAAAGTAGGCCTAAATGTTGAGGTACCGACGACACTCCCTACAAAGCTGGCGGGAATGAGTCGTAGCTCCAGGCAGTGAGTATAGGGTGGGTAAATGATTCGACTAAGACTCATCGTGCGTCACTCATAACCCAGACATCAGCGAGGCCCCTAAATCACCCGATAATTACCTCGTTATAGACTAATATCAACAGTCACAGTCGCTATCAGGGGACGACTGGTTAAGCGTACTGAAGAGGTGGGAGAGAGAGAGGGGAGGGGGGTGCAAGAGGGACAGAAGGAAGGAGGGAGGGATAAAGAGTTGGACAAGGCAAGAGGAAGGAGGAAGAGAGAGGAGAGAAGCGAGAAGAGTCGGGGGAAGAAAGGAGAGTGAATGAGGAACGTGGGAGGAAAGGAACAAGAAGGGAGATACGAAGCGAGGTTGGAGAATGGGGGGGGAGGAAGTGGGAGGGATGAAGCTAAGAGGAGAATGGGAGGGATGAAGCTAAGAGGAGAGTGGGAGGGATGAAGCTAAGAGGAGAGTGGGAGGGACGGGGGTAGGAGCGTACAACATAGGTAACAGCCTCTGCGACCCTGTTATGGCAGTCTCTCTCTCTCTTGTTATGTGGTGTGACTTACTGGTCGGGTTTGTGGTCCATGAGCCTACCATGTTAGTCTCTGGCTCCTGTCTGGTGAGGAAGAGTTTTTCATGTGGAGTGTTGAAGAGAATCAGAAGTAACAATATCAATAAGCCTTTGGTGACACGTTGGTGTTATTGAAATATATGAATATTAAATTAAAGACATACTTAAGGGAGCATGTTATGGTATACGCTTTTTTTATTTTTTTAAGAAGCAACCTTTTAGAGATCGTTAACACAGGATAGAGTCAAGCCATCAGAGCCATGAGTCGCACTAGCCAGTCCAGTTATTCTCCTACCTGTCCCTGGTCTCACTAATGGTTGGGACATTTTCACAACACCAGGACCTCGTTCTCCGTGGGCCTGAATTATTACCATTGTAGATGACGAGTGCTCAGCCTTTTAGGTGGTGGGTAGCGTGTGTAGGTAAAGTAACGTCAAATTAAACATTTTCCTGCACACAAAACTTAGTGCAGTTTGGGACACACAAGTTGGGTGTCGATGATTAATGACCGTTTCCACCAAGTTAGACAAGCTGCCATTGCTCAGGAACTGTTATTTGTTTTACCCAAATTGGCCGAGACCAACTCTCTTGATTGAGTTTTAGTGGATGTTTTTTCTTAAGGTATTTGGGTTAAAAAAATTCAGGAAAGCTGTTTGTTATTTGTTTCGTTGGTGCCGATGGACGAAGAACATAATACGCACCTTCACAGCTCTGAAATTGAGATACTGTAAAGTTTTTCTCACCATGCCAGTGTTCCACATGACCATTCTCATGTTCCTTAAATGTAGCAAAATTGTAAGAAAATCTGTACCACGATGCAATACTTTAGTTTGCCCTCCCTCTGATGGGTGAGGGTATTGTAGTCAGATTGTGCATGTGTTGGAAAGCTTAGACATACCGCCACCAGCCATTGTTTTGATCATGCCACTCCGCTTTTACAGCCAGTAGTAGACATTGGTTCATTAGCAGTGACCCAGGGCAGTTTTAGGTAAATAAGTCAAAGGTCAAGGGATGAGGGCGCGCACTGCGTTGTACCTGAGAGCTCTTATTAAGATTACGGTCGTGTCCATAAGGCGAGTTTCTAGATGCATACGAAATAACATCATCACAGCTCTGAAGATTCACATTATGCGCGGACAGTATTGCGCCCACGAAACCAAATGAACCATAAAAACTCATGAACACTATATTAAGAGAATGTCGTCTGTTGGATGATCACAGTTGTCGCGTGTGTGTGATTCTGGCCCTGATGGCGGATACCCACCACAGGAACCGTATTCTCCCCATGTGGCTGCTATACACCTTCACAGTGCAGTATATACCTCGACGTACCGTACTTAAAATAATGCCCAATAAAGTTGTTTTTCTTGCTAGGTTCCTCCGAGAGGTTTACCACAAGGTAGGCTGCGATGTAACATTGTTCATGATGTCAAGGCAAGCGAACACCTTTTGTGTGGCATTAGGATAACTTAACTATAGGCAAAGCTAACGTCGTGGTTTATCAACATGGCTGTTTGCTATAGGGGAGATTAGCGCCGGAATGATCTTCTGCCAAATACCGTACACAACACTAGGAGATACCCAGGTCGGCGGGTAACTTACGATTACGAATTTTTTTACTTTTCGCTTTGGAGTATATGATGTTTGGCTTGATGACACAGCCAACCTCGGCAGGCTTACAGGAAATCCTTTAGAAACTATTGCAAGTTGTAATGCCAGTGTGAGAACTGTAAACAGGTCACATATGAGCACTGTTAATCCATATCAACATGTTCTTGTCTAAGGTAGTTTTTATCTCGGCTCTCTATGGCTCTCTATATGCATCGCCGACAGCTTCAACTCTTTATCTTTTACTGTTGGTGTAACTGGAGAACATTGGGTGTATCCTGTACTGTAGAGGGAGGAGTCAATTGGGATAAACGATCCTCTACAGTTGAGTGGAATGATAAAGTAGTGTTGTGTTTGCCTAGGTGTATATGGATGGCTGTTGTCCTTATTTCTGAGGAATAGTTTGAGTTTTCATATATTTATTTCACTCTGGATATGTGTATAAAGTAAAAAAAACATAGTACAATAGATTCGTGATGAACTAAGAAAAAAGTAAATTGCAAGTTAGACAAGAAAAGAGACGCACTTAGAGTATGTGCTTAAGAAATGGCAATAATGTTTATTTTACCAGTTATCCTTGGGAGTTGAGTCGTGTGTCACTATAACTCAGTTTTATATATTTCCTTCACCACCGAAGGCTAAGGATTATTTTACAGTATCATTCGTCTGACCAGAAGTTTGTCGTGCACTTTTCTAAAGCATTAGTTTAGGCGTAAAGACCCGAGTCTGTGGGAATAATCATTTAGTAAGAAGGATGACGTTAGCCTAAAGCCTTGGCAGATTCTTCCGTCCTTCGAGGGAGAGATCAGCTTGTGAATGTAAGCCAACATAGTGCCAGTTATAGTGTAAACTTAGCTGTTGTGAAGGAGAGAACCAGTATTGTGTGTGAGGACGCAGCAGACAAGAGTGTAATATGTGTCTCCTTAAGGCCACTGGGGAGGGTTGAGCAGCTTGGAGGTCGTCCCGCTGCTCGTAACATGTGGGTGATGACTTGGCCACATGTGTGTGTGTGTGTCGGTGTGTTTGTGCCTGCTCTGGGATGTAACCATGCTTGTTTACCTACACCGTGTTCTTGTCTCTGATGAGGTGTGCTTTTTTAACATCTTTGTCGTTGGAATGTTTATTAGCAGCTCATTATCTGCACATAAAACTGTACCTAAATACTGCTGTAAAAACGTTTATTTCCAGAACCTTTCATAAATATATAGTTCCACACAAACAGGTCATTGAAGCCCCGCAGATACAGACAACCGAAATCCAGTAATAAGCAATTAGTAAAATACATTAACGTCTCAACACCTCTCACTAAGATCAACAAATAATCTCGGGTATGGCGAGTGCCTGATGGACCATAAGTCGTCACTGACTAGAAAATGGCAGTTGTAAAAATAAATAGAGGAGCACAATTAGGATGCTGCTCCTACCGGTGGTCACTTGCCTGGCAGTACTGAGCTTTGGCATATAGATTTTAAATTGCTAATTATAGTTGTGTGGGTGAATATCAAGTGTCTTGCTGGTCTGGGGTCCGTGGGAGTGTGGGCCGCTGGGGTTAACGTTTGGGGTGATGGTAGTAGGCTAGTTCAGTGGGGTGGGGGGTACTGGCCTAATGGCGGGACGTCTTTATTGTCCCGAGTTTGGCTGGGATAGTCCAGGGGAAGTTAACTGTCTGGTGAAGGACCAGAATATTTCAAGGAGGCAAGGACTTACGAGAGATAGCTTTCTGGTCGGATGAATTTTGTAGGAGGAGTATGCTTCTGATGGCTCATAGCTTTTGGAGGGACTGATTGTTAGAGGCAGTACTCTGTTGGGGATAAAGAACAACTGGAGGAGGAGCTCAGGCTTCCGATGATAACAAGAAGCTCGCCAGTCATGTTGTGGGACGTTACGATGTCCTGAGGAGGGGACCGCGAGCAGAGTGGTGGAACTGTCTAGTCTTAACTTCACATTTATATTGTATTTATTATCTGTTCTTATGAATGGACTACTTGTAAATATCCCGATGTTTCAGTGAAGAATATAGTGTTATAAAAGCCTTAGTTTTAATTGTTGACCTGAATTTCACCCATATTTCGTGAAACTTACCACATTTGTCATTTAGTCATATAGTTTGCAGAAAGACATAGATATCGGTGAAGT